GGAACATAATACTGGTGGTAAAACAAAACTAATAAAAAAAAACTATCTAAGAGGCAATACTATGAGGTGATTAAGAGCTCCATCTTTGGAGCTCAAGAGCTAGAATTCAAATTAGGCCATCCAATTTACTAGCTATGAGACTCTGGGCAAGCTAACCTTGTGAAGAATTGTAGTACTATGCCTAATTCTCTAACAGGTTCTTCAGAAGCATGTAAACCTTTCAGAGTTAAGAGAACATTACCAAGCAAGTTAAGAGGTTCCAGCTTACAATCTTCCCTTCTAGTAAACACAGCCTCTTCCCAACTTTTAGGTATATGGTTATTTTCATCATATTAAGTTATAGATTCTCGTCTCAAATTCATCAATTCAGAATGATGTTGAGCAAAGGTTCTTAAAAAAGAATAGGACATAGGCATATACTTCCTATTTACTCTTTCTTTTCTATTAATAGGTTTAAGTCAGATTAACTGTTCCTCATTTACAATTCCTAATATAGGTACAATCATCACATTCAGTTGCTGATACTCTTGATTTCTGGTAAATCTCTTTAAAAAGAAAAGTAATAATATGATTGCAAGCTACAAAATAATTTAATTTTTTAAGATCAGAGAGTGGGTAAGGAAATAAGATTCAACATTACTCAACTAATGGAAAGTGCTTACTGCTGAGTGGTATTTGGCAGACCTCCACAACTCTCTTGCAACACACAGCAGGATACCAAGTACTTATAAAGTATACTTTTGGATCAGAGATCTATGATCACTGTAATATGAAATTATGATTGAAATGCTTTTGTCACTACATGAGGAAAAGCAGACTTCCTGCACCAACGGATCACTTAAGTCAGGCATAGTACTATGAAATAATTCTTGACCACAAATTCAACCCAAGGATATAGAGGAAGAAAGCTGCACTCACGGGAAATATCTGAATATCTATAATCCTATCAGATGTGATAACCAATTATTAATGGACGAATAATAGGATGTCCTTTCAAGTAGCACTATTATAGCTAGAATAATTTTTTGCAGAACCTTGAAATCAAACTTATCAGTTTAACCAAATGTGCCAAAGCTACAGAAAAATCTCAATGCTTACGTTCCCTTTTAGATCAACTCCAAAAGGAGAGTTAGTTCTTTGTGAAAATTGTATTCTTCTCACCAAAGACATCATTTTTCTTCATGTTAACCTTCACTACTATGTAGGCACATCTGAAGGGGTATAGGTAAAATACTAGCATTATTATATGGGATTATACTTTAGCAAATTGGTTTATAATTGTCTGTACTGCTTAGCACTACACAAAAAAACCTTCTTGTAAAACACAATTTAAGATTCAAGAAGAATACAGAGACCAAGTTGGTTTAGTTCATCATATCCCCAGTGCTCACCAATGAATACCTCCTACAAAAATTTACAGAGGGTTAAATATGTACCAAGCTCTGTGCTAGGTAGGTACAGGTAAATAACTGGACATAAGATAGTCTCCACTCTCAAGAACTAATACCATAGGGTGGGGGTACTTGATTGTTAGGAAAAAAGGAGTGGAAAATATGCTAGCGTAATAAACTAGGAGTTCGGGAAAGTCAAGATTTACTCCTATTTGCCCAGATGCTCACCTGGCTGTCCTCCTTCCAACACTTAGCTTTCTGCTCAAATGTCACACAACAATGAAAGGCCTTCTGACCCCATCACCCACTCCTATCATCTGCTCATTCCTCTTCCACATTACCTGCTGCATTTTCTTCACAGTGCCTATCACTATCTGAAATTCTATTATTTACCTATCAGGCTATCTTCCCCCGCTAAAATGTAAGCTCCCTGAGAGCAGGGACTTCATCTGTCTTTTCCGTTGCTCTTTCTAACCCTTTCACATAGTATAGCGGCTGGGACACAACAGGTATTCGATAAACATTTGTGGAAAGGAGGGACTCCAACCAGTGGAGCACACACTCAGGCTATTTCTATGAGGTTTTCCCCTCCCAGAAAAGCTTCAACCCTATGAAAACCAGAAGTCACTAGTTATAAGAATCAAAAACCACAGAATTCTGAAATCTCTTATGTCACACAAAAGGAACACAGTTAGGCAATGATGCTAGGAAAGGATTTTCATTTAGTATCTCTTTTTAGTGCTGCTATATGGTTCTTCTCCAGAGAGTTCTCTAGTCAGTTACAATTGAAATATATCAGCATATTTTAATCTCTATGAAAAAGACCAATACATAGACTCAAATAATTCTTTTCTCTACTTACTCTACAGCAGCTATTTAAAAAAGTAAAGTTATTGGTGAAGCCGGGATAGAGTTATAAAGTCACAAAGTAACACAGCTAGAACACTAATGCTAATAAAACTATAAATTCAGAACAGATCATCCTTCATTACCCTCTGTAGTACCCAGCCAGGAACAGCATGAGATCCACAACAGGTACTTAACAAACATTTATTGAGTTTTCAAAAACCTATTCTTGGTAGTCATTTTGATATACAAAAGCAACAAGTAAAATGCACCAAGCAACTGAAGACCTGCTAAATTTTCAAGAGACAAGGAGTTAGCTAACACAGATGGAGCTATTGCCACACTGAACCAACAGCTGTCAGACAAAGCAGCTGCACAGAAGAGATGGTTTTTATTTCATCCTAGTACCTTTAAAAAATCTGATCTGGGTATATTATTAACTTTTACTTCTCCAAATTTTGTTCTGAACTTGGAAGTGGAGGGAATCAATCTAGGAAATCTTCTAAGAGGATGAATCTAGTTAGTCCCCATCAATAAGTAGTGAACAGAGTAGATGAGAGCTGATGGGTTCTTCTATGTGTTTCTTTTTGCCTGTTTATTTTCTTTAATGAGCATTGTTTTTGTAAAATCAAAGCAAAAAAAAAGCTTTCATTAAAAAACCAAAAAATTTAATGACATGAAAACCAACAAGTAAGACAACTATTATTTTTTTTTAACTTTCTCTAAACAATAGCAGTTGTGTTTGTGCAGATTCAATTGGCAGTGAATCACTGGTTAACAGATGCCTTGGTCAGATGTATTCTAGTCAATGATAAGGTACTTTTCTGGTAAACAGTCATCTCAGGGTCGCTCAGCCCTCAGTAGCATAAAGGCTTCAAAACTGTACTTGAGCAAAGCCTCCTTGACACCCTTTCAGAAGAGGTACAGAAGTTTCCTGCACTGTGTGGACAGCTAGACTAGATCAGAGATTCACAAACATTTCAGTGTCAAGACCCCCTTTACTCTCTTATCCACCAAAACCCTCAAAGAGCTTTCATTTATGTGAGTGATATTTATGGGCATTTGCTGTAGAAGCTCAAACTGAGAAGTGAATAAAACATATCAGAGGCATAAGGGTGATGTCATCACTCATTATATGCCTTCTGGAAAACTCCACTCTACACTAGTGAGAGGAGAGTGAAAAAGGCAAATTACTTCTTAGTATTTTTCTGGAAATTTTTTTGATCTGACAGATACCCAACAAAGATCTTTGAGAATCACTAGATCAGATCATCAAGAATCCTTCCAATGCTATGGCTCTGGAGCAAGATTTCTCAACTCTGGTACTACTGACATTTTGAGGTCCATATTTCTTTGTTTGGGGGTGGGTGGGAGCTGTCCTGTGCATTGTAGGATATTTAGAAGCATCTCTGTCCTCTATGCAGTAGATGCCAAAAGCAATTCCCAAATGTGACAACCAAAAATGTCTCCAGATATTGCCAAATATTCCAATTGAGAATCCACCGTTCTAGGGGGCTGATTTTATTCTACTGAAATGTGAATAATAAGATGTGTACCTCTCCCTGTCTTCTCAGGCCCCTAATATATCTGTTTCCTCTCTACTCCCATCTGCTCTGTTCCTATGTTTTTGTTTTTCTTTCTTTTTTAATTAGGTCACAAACAGCAAGAGTCAGTGTGTAGCAACAAACAGGATGAATCAGGTCAGGAAAAGACATTCTGGTCAAAGTTCACTTTTCAGGCATTAAACTGGCTGCTTATGGGGGCGGGAGGCATCACAGCACAATCAGCCAATATTCACCCAGCCATTCTGAGGACATGGTAACAACCTAATCCTTAGAAAGTTACTTGTACCCTCCTTCTTCTCATCTGAAAACCAGGTAATAGGCCAGTTGTATGATAGGGAAGAAGAAAATGAGCTGCTAGAAGGTAAAGAGGCATACAAGACTAAGTAAGATACAGCTCCAAAACCTCGCATCTGGGAGGCCCTCCCAAATGAAACATTTGGGGCTATGGGGGCTGGGAAAGTAGCAAAACTGGTAGAAAACTGACATGTTCAACACCTCCAAGTCAGATATCCACTCACCATCGAAGTTCCTACTCACCCCTTTACTCTCCAGAGGGTGAGCCCGAGTTTTCTTGCCTAGAAATTACCTTAGGTCCCTTCCCCCTCAAAACTCCGACTACCAAACTCAAATCCAGCATCATTCATCTCTTTAATCACCCTTTCTCCACAGCCTCCAATTCCTACCCACGGAAGTCAACCCTCTCACTGCCTCTCAGATTCTGTCATATTGCCCCACTTCCCTCAAGTTCTTCACGCAGGCACAACCTTTTCCTTCCCCAATTTTCTCTCACCCCATACTTCTCCACCATCTTCAAAACTCTTCCCTGATCCTACGAAACCAGGACTTTCCTAATTGTCTCTGCCACCTCAGAATCAGCACGTATCACCCTCCTAAGCTCACTCTTTACTATTTTCCCCTAGTGACTCTTCCTACCCCAATGCGCTTCATTCCTCGCTCTTCCCAACCTACTCTCTAGGGGTCCAGTCCACCTCCTTTACTTGCCCCTTCTTACTCTCACTGGCTCTCTTCCCCGCCATCTCTCAGGCAGGTCTTCTCTAGGTCAATGCTTGCCACCTGGGGCAAGCAGCGCCGCCCAGTGTCTTAAATCCCTCCCCTGGGACCAGTTCTGCAAGTTGTGGCCTTTGAACTGGGCGCCCCGGGCCCAGGCGGGAGGACTGAGCAGAAGGGCACAACTCACCCAGGACGAGGCAGAGCGAAACGAGCCCCGAGCCCGGCATCAGGGAGAGGCGGAAGCACACCATGATCCGGAAGAGCGGTCGGTGGCGAGAGCAGCAACACCACTGAAAAAGCTCTGGGGAAGTGGAGAAAGACAATCGCTGACCACCGACCACAGCGCAGCAAAAGCTGGGACTGGGAGATTCAGCGCGGGTCATAAGACTAGGGGCGGGGCTCTTTCTTGTCTTCAGCCAATCTCCGGGCTTGAAAGCGGCGCGAGGGGTAGTGATGTAGTGGCGGGTGGGCGGAGCGACCACGCCCTGGCTTTTTGGTTCACGATCATTCTAACGTTCTTAAGATGTATGCGCGGACGGCCTTATCTGAGGTGAAAGAGAGAGGATGAACTTTTAGGCGTGCAGATGATAGAAATTATTTTAGTTCCAATTCCTTGGGGAAGAAGAGAATAATTTTGTTGGAGTAAAAGTGGTTGCTGGGCATCACAACGTAACACAAGAATCATACATGATGATTCTCCGAACACTGTTGTTACCTAAGCAGTTCATGCTGTTAAATGGACAAGGGAGCTGGGGAGTAACATGGAGTCACTGACTGCCGGAGCAGGAGTTGGCCTTGAAGTTCACTAAATTACAACAGATGGGGAAATTGAACTCAGAAAGAGGAAGAATCTTCTTTAAATACAGAAAGAAAGAAAATGAGATAGCAATAAAATAGAAAGGGGTGGGGACAAAGATAATTCATATGCTTACTACCCACAGACACTGTTTATCTATCTATATCCATTCATTATCCCTACAGTTGTTTCTCCTATGTATATATACATGTAAATATTCTTTAATGAATTCATACTAAACATACTATTTGGTATACTTAACAGATGAACCAATGAAACCTAAAATATTCAACAAATGAAAGCATTCAAAAACTATAAAAATTTCAAATTGTAATAAAGCACTGCTTCCCAAATGTTAGTTTCCAAAAGAATCATCTGGGTATTTTTAATAACATACAGATTCTTGTACTTCATTTCTCAGAGATTCTGAAAAAGTATGTCCTGTCTTTGTTTGTTTTTGTTTTTACCAAGAGCTGTTTCTCAATCCTAACTACATGTTGGAATCACTTGTGGGGCTTTAAAACTAGAGATTCCCCCTTGGTCCCACCCCTTGAAATTCAAATTCAGTTGGTACGGACTGGGGCCTGGGCATTGTATTTTTCTCAAAACTCCCCAAGGCAATATTAATGGGTCAGAGATGATCTCTAAGGTGGCTCAAGTTTTACAGTTCTGGATTCTATAAGAATAAATGCTCTTTTATTTAAAATATAAGGAAGCGAAGTGTCTCAATAAGTCAAAGAACCAGTTTAATCAAGTTTTTGCCCTTAACCTCTTGCAGATGTTATCAAATTAAAAAAATTTTAAAAAAAAGGAACACAGTGAGATAGAGCAGCCTTTTATGCTAAATCCCCCCACCACAACCTTTCCCCCTGACAAAACAAATGCTGGTTCTTTGGGGCAGGCATGTTCCTGAGATAGAACAATGTTTTGGAAGTGGTAAGTAAATGGTGGGTATTTTTTTCAGAAAAAGATAGACTAAAAATTGTTAAATCTTTGCTTGGTCTGAGCTTCCATACTCACAGTTGTTTAATGTCCCCCCACCCCCACCACAAACCTTGTGAAAACAACTTAGTTTTGTATACATTGTCTCCCATTACCCCAGCTTAATTGAAGAAACTTTCCCAAGGCTTTTCTTCATTAGAGGAAAGTCTATGGAACTAGGGTCAATATTTGAGGAACTCCAGAAGATACTTTCCAATCTGAAGTTCATATGAGTTGATTTGATTGTTGATACTGCTGCATCCAGAGTGCTTTTATGTGCACTTTCTATTCTACAATACCTTACACCTCCCCAAAGGGAAAAATTCCTCAGGAAGCTCGCGTCCTTGCGCGCATGTGCACACATACACACACCCAGGTAGATTATGACTTTTTGGAGCAGGTTTGAGAGGTCTTGACTTTTTGGCCCTGGAGAAATGATTACTGGAAAACACTTCCCAAATCTGAAGACACTGAATGGTGTGAAAAATAATTACCTTATCACATGTGGTAAATTATAAACAATGAAATGTGTGAGTCACAAGAGCATACAACTGAGAAAAAAGTCTTTTCAATAAGTGGTGTTAGGAAAATTGGACAGCTACATGCAAAAAAATGAAACTGGACCACCAACTTACACCATACAAAAGAATTAACTCAAAATGGATAAAAGAGTTAAATGTAACTTGTGAAACCACAAAAATCCTAGAAGAAAATGTAGGCAGAAAAATCTGACATCATATGTAGAAAAATTTTCACTGATACATCAACTAGGGCAGGAGAAAAAAAGGAAAAAATGAATAAATGGGACTACATCAAACTAAAATGCTTCTAAATGGCAGAATAAACCAACATCAAAATGAAAAGGGAATCCACTGTATGGGAGGATATATTTGCCAACAATTTATCGGATAAGGGGTTAATATCCAAAATCTATACAGTACTCATGCAACAAAAGGAAGACAAACAATCCAATTAAAAAACGAGCAAGTACTTCTTCAAACAGGACATACAAATGGCCAGAAGACATGAAGAAATGCTCATCATCACTAATCATCAGAGAGATGCAAATTAAAACAACAATGAGGTATCACCTCACACCTGTCAGAATTGCCACCATCAACAAATCATCAAACAACAAGTACTAGTGAGGATGTGGAGAAAAGGGGACTCTAGGACACTGCTGGTGGGAATGCAGACTGGTGCAGCCACTATGGAAAACAATATGGTGTTAACTCAAAACATTAAAAATTGAACTGCCATTTGACCCAGTGATCCCACTTCTAGGAATATGACCCAAGAAGCCTGAAACACCAATCAGAAAGAATATATGTACCCCCATGTTAATAGCAGCACTATTTACAATAGCTAAGATCTGGAAACAGCCCAAGTGTCTAATAGTAGATGAGTGGATAAAAAAGCTGTGGTACATTTGCACAATGGAATACTACGCAGCTGTAAGAAAGAACAATCTCATATCCTTTGAGACGACATGGAGGGACCTGGAGAGTATAATGCTGAGTGAAATAAGCCAAACAGAGAAAGACATGTATTATATGATTCCACTTATTTATGGAACATCATGAAGAAAATAAGCTGTCCACCAAATTAGATCCCGAGTCGTGGAGGTAGGGAACCGACTAACAAACAGAGGGATTGGGAGTGAGATGGGTGGAAAGAGATAAACCAAAAAACTTATATGTATATATGCACAACCAATGGACACAGACATTAGGTTGGGGAAAGCAGGAGGGGGGTGAGGGTAGAGGAGGAGGGTCAATGGGGAAAAAAGGGGGGACATCTGTAATACTTTCAACAATAAATTAATAAAAGAAATGTGTGTGTCAGAGGAACAGAAAGAGTCAGTCTATCCACCTGGTGTTGGCAGAGCCAACCACTAAACACTAAGAATTGCAGTAGAGAAATATTAGTTATTTTATTATAAATGGCAATACCCAGGAGAATGGGAAGCTATGTTCAATATCCCCAACTGTCTGATGGCATATAGGTCACAGAATCACAAGATACCTGTGGGTTAGGGGTTTGGGGTCGTCCTGGGACCTGATTGGTCAGAGGTGAGGCAAGGGTAATAAATCATTTCTTCAGGTCTTGAGGACAGCTCTGAAGTCTGTTCCCATGTCCCTCTGTCTGGCTTCACTGGAAAGTAGCCAGGGGGTCATTCCACCTAACTTAGGTCAAAATGTTATCTTTAGCCTACCAGAGGTCCAGACCTTGAGACCGTTAGTCAGGACTGAGTTCTATCTTCTGCTGCCTCATAGGTTGTTGATTATGGGGCAGGGCAGGGCAGGGAAGCTAGATCTCTGAGGGGTATGTATATACATACAGAGAGAGAGACATATGATTTATAGAGCTATTATTTACAGCTAACTTTAATCAACGTAATAAGGACACTCAGTTTCATAGACAATGAAATGTGTGGGTTGGAAGAAGGAAATCAACATAAAAATACAGAGATTAAATTATTTATTTATTTATTATTTATTATTATTTTTAATCCTCACTCGATGATATTTTTCCATTTTTATTTTTTCAGAGTGGGAAGAAGCGAGAGAGGTAGACAAACATCGATGTGAGAGAGACGCATTAATTGGTTGCCTCCTGCACGACCCCCGCCAGGGCCAGGGACAAAATCACAACCCAAGTACATGCCCTTGACCAGAATTGAACCCAAAACTCTTTTGTCTGCGAAATGACACTTTAACCGCTGTGCCAAACCAGCCAGGATGAGATTAAGAATTTTAAAATGATAAATACTTATTAACTCAATGAATGACTGACCCTGAAATGTTAGTGTCATCTACTTGCAATCTTACGATTTTTTTAAATCTGTGTTCTCTGCCATTTTTCCTTTCCTAGTAATTTAGTTTCTTCTACACTCCTTGTACCTTTCTCTTTCTAACATGTTTCTCTTTTCTGGTAATGCCTCCCAACTGTGGAAGTATGATCATTGCTAAATCCCAACATAGAGGTCACAGTTAGCTCAAGGAGCTGTGAACCCTTGACATAAAGCTGGATGGGTGAATGGGGACATACCATTTTGAATTATTAGTTACCCTCAGGAGGATTTTTCCCAACACCACCACTAAAGATCTGGTCTAACCTGCTAAAATGAAATGGTTCTCAATTTTGAGCATGCATCAAAATTACCAAGGGGCTTTTTTTTTAATTATTATAAATTTATCTTTATTGTTGAAAGTATTACAGACGTCCCTCTTTTTTGCCCCTATTGATCTCCTCCTCCTGGCTCCAGCGTTGCACCTGCCTTCACCAAACTATTGTCTATGTCCATTGGTTATGTATATATGCATATAAGTTCAGATCTTAGCTACTTTAAATAGAGCTGCTATAAACATAGGGATACATATATTCTTTCTGATTGGTGCTTCAGGCTTCTTAAGGTATATTCCTAGAAGTGGGATCACTGGGTCAACTAGCAGTTCCATTTCTAATTTTTTGAGGTAACACCATAGTGTTTTCCATAGTGGCTGCACCAATCTGCATTCCCACCAGCAGTGTACTAGAGTCCCCTTTTTTCAACACCCTCACCAGCACTTGTTTGATGATT